ACCTTTTTCATGAAATATCTCTGAGGTGAATCTGAGCAGAAGGTCTTCAGTCAGCCTGCCTTTAGTCAGAGTGAGAAGAGGAACACACCGTTTCTGCAGATAAACTTCCTACTGTATATCTGACACAGCCTCTATTTTGTGCTTTATTTGTGCTCATAAAGCAAGTCTTGAATGAATTTCCCCAAAGTTAGTGATAGAATATGAAATTCTCAAAGTAATGTTTCTGGTTCTTTGAAAAATCTTCAATAGAGATTTTTTTCCAAATGTATTATGAGCGAATCAAATTTGGAGCATGTCTTTCTTAGCATGTGCAGTGGCAGTACTGACTATCTGTGCATCTACCCGCTGATCTTTCAGCTTAGTCATAGGAGTCAAGTCTGCACACTTTTCTTCTCTAGTGCCTCTCTGGGTAATTTGCATTTGGAAACATTTTTGAAAATACCAATGATCTATTTAAAGAACTGATCTTTAGTTTTCCTCTTTTGACAGCGTGAACGTGTATTTTTCTAAATATATGATAGTCTTATATATAACTTGCAGACTTGAGCTGGCGTACCATGACTTATAAAGTTATTTTAACAGTAAAAACAGAATGTGATATGTGAAAATGTGACCCATGTGATACAAAGTCTAAAAACATCACATATTAAAACAATAAAAGTATCTTATTTCCTGGTCAGCTTTCAGATTTCTCTGTCTGTGTTCTGTCTGGAGAAATACTGCATTTTTAATAGTTAAACTAGAATTTAATTTCTGAAGATAAAAGAGATACAAGGCAAAAATTGTCTCATCAACGGTATAATGAGACTTCAGAGGGGTTTCTAAGCAGCAACAATTGATTACCATTACAGGATCAATTAAAATTAGGCTTTTCATAGCTTCTGCTGAATGTAGTTGGGACATGAAAAAACAAGAACTGTAGTCAATCTCTAAAATGATGCTTTTGATATTGCCCATTGATCTGAGACAGAGATTTACAGAACCTTCCACACGTGAACTTGAAACTTTCTGGTTCTGATTTTTTTTTATGTTTGTATTTAGAGCCTGTGTTTTACACGTCCTTTGCCATGAAAAGGCAGCGACATGCATTGGTTTGAGACTCTTTTTAGACACAAATGCAGTTTTGTTTTGAGGGTTCCACGAGTTAAAAGCTCTTTCAGTTTCATCCTCACGAGCACCTTTCATGCTCACCCTAATTGTCTGTTGCAATGTCTTTTCTTTTTTTCTTTTTTAACCTGTCCAATTTAGATTTAACAGGTCTTAAGATTCAAGACTTTGAGTTAAGATATAGAGGAATACTACACATGACCCACTGAGACATTTATTGTATGCTTTTTTCTAATAATAATAACATCCTTATACTAATTATAGATATTATTATTATTATTATTATTATTATTATTATTATTCACTTTTTAACAGGAGAATAAGCATCAACAGGAGTGAAGTAAGGCCAATCCCGACACAGTTCCTGGAAGTCATCTGCTGAAAGTATTTCATCCATCCTTTTTTTAACAGCTTCTTCCAATTCTGAGGCATGGAGGCTTCTAGAGCCTTTTCCTGCAAGCAATTTGCTATTCCTCCGCAGGGCCCACACAGACACAGACAAGCACACATTCACACCAAGGCCTATTACCAGAAGTCATTTAATCTACAGTTATGTCTACAGGTGGGTCACGTTTGTCTAATCACATGACAGGTTTATGCTCAAGGTTTCTTGATTATAGAGCTTAACCTACAGTACATTTTAAACAACCACTTTGCGTGGTTGAGACATTTGAAAGAAGTGACACTTGCTTACGTATGTAGGACACTTTCTTTGCCCTGTATTCCTGCCTTTTCAGGTCTGTTTATACAGAATCGAAATATTAGAAATGTACTTGTCTTTTACAATAAGAACATGAAAGAATGTTATTTTTTGGCATGCATGGTGAAAAACTATTTTACTTCCTCATTGAATGAAGGAATCCATTCTTCATGTCTACATGTTACAGAAAACGTTGAGGCTTGTTTTTTTTCTGTAAAAGGATATGAGACAAATACGGAAGAATGTTAGTGGTGTGTGTGCAAAATAGCTGAACTGACGTGTTAGCGCAGCACATTATTAGAAACACAACTTAATATGTTTGACATACTATGAGAAACACACGACTTAGCAATCAATATAGAATATTTAATATTTAATATTAACATATTTAAGGTGTGCATCTTCAGGGTAGGTAAAAAAAAACTTCTAAATACCACTTTTCGAGGCTTTGTTTTTGTCAGTCATAGCATAAAGAGGAAGTCTAGAACCTCTTCCTTTCCCTATATTAACATTGCAATTGAATTTTACTCCTAGAGCTGACTGTTTGCTGCGTAAAAAATGTCATTTAACATTCACTTTCACTTCCTGCTAATGAGTTAAGGCTCCCTCTACAAAAATAGAACCTTAACATTTCAGGAATTGGAATAAAAGCAGAAATCTGGATAGACAATATGTTCTAATAGGCTGTCTTTTGCAATGTCTTATTAGAAAAATGCTGTTACTATGATATGTTGAATACTTTCTAAAGAATTTCAAGTGTCTCATACAGGGCCTTCACCTTTAAAAGTATTAATATAAGCCAGGCAGAAAGCAGAATATACAGTAATTCCCACAACTCTGTTTTCCACCTGTCCCTGCAACATTGTTTCATAAAGTAAATGTCTGCATATTCGCATAAGGAAGCTGCTGTTTTCAGTGCCATTTAATTCATTGAAATCAAGTTAAGTTGCAATGCAAAATCACATCAATATTAACACTATAACCTGGGGATTCTACTGGACAGGAAAAGGTTATTTGTCAGTGGGTGAATTCGGAGAAGTTATCAACTAAATAGATTTCTTGCTTTAGTTTCTAGAAATGTATTTTCTAAGTAATCTATTTCATTTATAAAAATATTAATGACTTTACAGCTAACTTATTTAGATCATTGCAACATGAACTCCCATGCAATATGAGTCATATACACAAAGCAATATCTAACAAGGTTTGAATGCCACATTCTCTTCCTAATTTTCATTAACAAGATCCCTCCCTCACTCAAAAAAAAATGTTCAAGTATGAAAGTGGTGAAAAATTGTAATATTAACCGTCACTTCCTTTTAGCAGTTTGACAGTTTCAATAACAGTTTTTTTTCATCCCACCACTTGTGTTTTGAAGTGTGCATACATACATTTAATTTTCTATTAAACTGTGCTATAGGTCAAGCAGAATAAATAAGAAATGTACAGTATTTCAGTGTAGCTGCAAGTAGAGACAGCTGCCACAAATTACCTCGTAATTCTGAGATATTAAGTCACAATTGTGAGATACAAGGCCGTATTTGCGAGTTATGAAATCGTGATTCTGAGATGCTATGTCGCAATTGTGAGATATAAGCTCGTAATTACGCTAAATAAAATCGTAATTCTGAGATTGTACTTTCTTTTTTTTAACTCCGTGACGGAAACGGGCTTCCATAGTGAGGGATCTTCTTCAAAGTTTTAATTTTTTTTTTAGTGTTTTCCATGTACACTAATTGTCGTCTGAACAGGCATAGAATAGAAGTCTCCGAGTCTCGTTGACTGACAAATATTGTAGCGCTTTCAGGTTCACGTGGGTATGAGCCCTCGCGGCTGCCGCCTTACTGTAGGTAGTTGAACCCGGGCCTCTGGCGTCACTCAACGGGGACCCAGCCAGTTGAACTAAAGGGAAATCTCCCCTCAGCCCGGCGGCTGTGGTCCCTGCTACTCACTGGTAACCCGGCTCGCACAACCTGCAATGTCGGCCATATGCGTTACAATATATTGCATGTCAACATATCAAAAAGTCCTTTGATACATGAGGAATGTCTTCCCTGGGATCATTGAAAGTGAGGTGAAAACTACTGTATCTATATTCTTCCTTTTTCCTAGGTGTTTATCAGTAATTGTGATAGTAAAAAAAAAAAAGTATGGCAGCAAAAATAAAAAAAAAACACAAAGACAGAGTGAATTGTGAAAAAGTGTTATTGACCAATACAATAACCCATCTGGTACATTCAAGTTAATACATTATTCATTTCATATGTACAGGTATTACCAACAATACAGAATCACATCAGGGTTTTTGTTCTGTCTTCCCATGTATATCATTACTGCTAAATGAAAGTTTGTGCTTCGCCACTGTTCTAAAACCTTGAAAAGCGGATTTTGCTAAAAAACCCAAGGTTTGAGCTTGATGAATAAGGCTTGCAGGCTTTGATGTCTTAAGGTACTGTAGTATGTTTAATATGTAAACCAATGTCAAGGCTCATATTATTCCAGTATTGTATGTCCACATGTTTCTGCATGTCTGGAGGAGAAGGGTATGACTGTTAGTTGTGTCCACCTTTCCGTGGAAGAAATGACTTCAGGCCTTGTGACTTTTTCTATCAACCATTTAGCTAATGTCTCTCTAGAGTGTTCCAAAGTAACCCTGGGAAACTTAAATCAGAAGAAGAAACAATCGCAATATATTTCCCTCTCCCACACCAAACAAAAGTCTCCCTAGATATTTAGTAGGCAACCAGGCTGTTGAACAATCCTCACTAGTATCAGCATGATTGTGGAATGGCATTGTACTATATACTGGAACAGAAGCTTATACTTGAAACTGTTATACTGTATATGCCACAGTAAAGAAAATAAGCTTGCAACCCTCCAATCTAAGACTAGACAGCACTAACAACCATGTGTGATACATGAGATTTTTGGCAGTGCCTTTAAGTGGAGCAAAACAGACTTTGGAAAGCATAGCACAAGGGACTTTCAATTTGAGTGCCCTTTCGGAAACGTGAATCCTGAATCGATTCTTATTATGCAAAAAAGTCAATGTACACATCTTTGCTTTGCAATAACACCTAAAAAAAAACACCAAAAAAAAACCAGTGTGACATTTGTGTTTGCCATACAACATTTTTTTTTCAATTTTACAAATAAATAAAACCTTAAACATCAACCACAGCATATCTATATATAAAAATGTTATTCATTATTTATTTTGTCAGTTTGAATCATTTGAAGAAGAGAAGAAAACAGCTGATTAATGCACTGAGGTTAGGACTTAAGACATCTAGTGCTAACATTTAAGATACCGTGCAAGATATTTACATAAACTGTGTGTTGTGTTGGGTTTGAAATGTCTGTGTAGCCTATGCCTATAGTGATGTCACCTGAAAATGCTGATTCGGGGATCATTTCTAACCAAAAAAAAAAATCCAATAAGGAGTAATGGGGAAAGGTTTGAGGCTAAATGGAATTTGCATCTTTCCTGATATTCCAGAATTCCAGTTTCATCTTAAGCTAGATCAAGCTAAACATACTTAAATAAAAAAAGAATTATTACAATTAATGAAGGACAGACATCAATACCTCCGTGACACAAAGGAAATATTGCACTAAGAATTGTATGGTGGAATTGATTTAAGTTGGATTTAATTTAATTCTGCTACAAATCTGTACTGTGCCGTTATTATTCCATATGAAATATTCAGAAATATTGTTTTGCAGCTCAAAGATTACTATTGATTATAGGAAACCTGAACTTACTCTCTTTCACTTTAATCTCAACCAATGCCCCAGTTGCTATTGAATATCTGAACAATTATTTTATAAGGACTTTAATAATTAGGGTAGTTGCGTTCTAAAGCATTGCAGCATTAGAAACTCCCAGGTTTACAGAAAGTGTGCATGACAGGCTCTAATGACAGAGGGATGTACAGTAGATGTAGACCTGGTGTTTTCAAATCAATCTGTGTTAGTGGTGTCGCTAACCCCCTTAAATATACTGAAGATCGGAAAATCATTCTCAGTTCAGAGAATGATCAGATTCATCTGACAATATAAATCCTAGTTTGAATATTTGCAGCTCGATGGGATGGTTATATATGTGTGAAATTAAGAGGACATTTCTTTATTAAATTTCATAGCAAAAATAAGTACTTTTTATCTGATAGTGGGTCTGATTGGCCAAGAAAGGGTTTCTGCTTGTATTCACATGTTCCCTCATTTACATGAGCACCTGTGGCATAAAAGATATATTTGATCTATACAGCAAAATACAGGGAAGGAACAATAAGCAATGTCTTATGCAGGTCAAGGAAATGTCAGGAGCCCTTACCTTTGCTCCTAATTTATACAGTGAAAGCAAAAAGTCTACAGAACTCCAAGCTTTTAATATAATTAACTTGATATGCCTTAATAATTTCAAAACTCGCATGTGCATAAAGAATACTGACAAACAGGACTGCTGTGCGTACCAAGATTGAATGTAATCTTCCATTCTTAATAATACTAGTAAGTAATTCATGCTTCTAGAAATCATCCCAAAACACTACTTAGGTTTCAGTTCCTCCTTAGGAATCAGCTGTACCAAATTAGAGTAGTTAAATTCATGTGGAGCAGCACTAGTTTTGTTTGCGCACTAACAAGAGGAAGATATTCTGACCACTCTTTAGGCTGAAAATGGTTTTCTATCAGCTATCCCAAGCACCTAGCCAGTACAGGTATCAGACACAGTGAAACTGAGATGAATAGTGGGGAAGAGAATCGGTTGTGTTGTTATTTGGGAAACGGAGTTTCATTTGGACTTGATCTCTGTGTATTCGCTGGTGTCGTCCATATGCGTTGAGACATCTTTGGGCTGGCATCTGGAGAATTCTAATGATGCGTACTGGACGTCTTGTTTCTCTCCATCCGGGACAGACCTGATGTTTTGATAATCGCTGTCCTCATCCTGTGAGAGACAGACAATGGTATTAATATTGCTCTATTGCTCTGTTAAAGTGACCGATTCAACTGGGCAGTTGTGATTTGCCTTCCTTTAATCTCTTCCAATAGGATGCTTCTCTTTCTCTTTTTTTCATTTTGGAAAAAATATTTTGTTCTTACATTCGGATAAACTAATGCAAGCCTTCGAGGCCCAAAAACACACAGGTGTATTTTGTATATTATTTCACCTGTGTTTCATTATGTGTAAATAATTTACAGAACATACATCAATCAATTGGCATTCATTGTGCTTTCTGATCTGTTTTTAAGCATTTCACAAATTACAATGAAAAAATAATACATTTCTTAGAAGAATTGAAATCGCTGATGACTGTACTATATAGAAACAGCTCCAGAATATCTCAGGCCCTTCTTTTTATTACAGAGGACATTCTGGTATCTACTGATGTTTATCATCTGAGGACCACTACAACAAATTAATCAAGAATACAGATTATTTATCAGCCTAACAAAAATGCATTTCTATTTTATTACTATGGGATTTTTTTTTCTTTTGCCAGGAATCTAATATGAAAATCATGCTGACATCCTAAAACATCTACTGAAAATCTAAGAAATCCATTCAGGCATCATGCTGTAACAGGAAAATGTTACTTTTGCTGAATGAAAGACATGAACACTTCATGTAAATAATTTGTTTCATGGGGCTCTGGTGGCAGAATACGTGAAGTTATGAGGTAGAAATGAAATACAAGCACAGTTTTGCAGCCCATTCTGAATGACTGTATGCCAAAGCAGGAATATTACGTCACATTAATGTCATTGTCATACACAATAAGACAATTTGACTTCACAAAGCAACCATGCTGGAGACCAGCTATGGATGAATGGTTATGTTTACTGTGAGAACAGCTGAATGAGGAATGAGTACAGCATGCACAACTGTCCAGTAAAGCAGGTCAGTTTTGTGTTTATGTGAGGAGAAGTGAGTGGATCCTTTAAAAGGCTTTACCGTTTCAGGAAAAAAAACACATCCTTACCGTTGAAGGCTCTTCTAGGATTGAGTTAAACTTTGTGCCCAAAAGTTCTGTCTTAAGCTGTTAGAGTTGAGAGAGAGACACGCAAAAATGTAGTAAAGGACAAGCAGACGAGGCTGGAGTAATTAGTACTAAAGGACAGCAGACGTGACTAGAGAACTTCTGAAGTCACAAAGCGTGAGCAAATGTAAACTACAAAAGTAAGGTTACCATCTTTTCCACAGTATATTTCCCCTGCTTGCATATCAGAGGCCTAGCGATAACGCCCGATAATTCTGTGTCCAGATTGGAGTGGCAGGTCATGTTTTCTCTTTTTGGAGGGTGAAAGGTTTTCTTTTCCCCTCAAATTTCAGCTGGACATGTGCTTCAAAAACCTGGACTGGACAGGTGAGGCCTAGACAGAGGCAGCCTTCACTAAAAGAAATATTTAGTGTTATGTACTGTATGTCCTTTGCGACCTGCCGTAGTTAGTACTCAAGGGACTGTGGGTAAAACTGCAGAACATTTTAGTTGCGTTTGTTGTGAGTTTGTGTTGTTTATAATAAAGGAAAAGCTGCATTTTCCACTCACCTCTGTTTCATGTCTGATTATTGCCGTTAAAATAAATAAACATGATTTCCCACAAAAGAACACAACATTTAGGACTATATGTGTCAGGAAGAGGAGAAACACTGAGATGTTTTTGGTTTCAACCTGAGTAATCAATTAAATAATCAATCTAATTGCTTTATTATTCCTTATGCACTTACATTTTTTACAGTTGATTACTCAAAACATGAACTTCAATAAATATACAGGTATATATAAATGTTTTAGGGACTAGAAATCTTGCTAATTTAATAAATAAAATTAGACCACCTCTATAGCTGAAAGCTTGGGTGAAACAAAAATTAATTAGTGAGGTTACAAAAAGCAAACTGCAATCTCCAGGAAAGTTCAATACCTTTTAGTGATGGTTAATTAGTTAATTATTGGGAATAAACTCATTTTAAATGCACATGAAAGTGTGCCAGGTTAGTTAGTTACTGGCAGCATATGATTTGTGTAGCTTAAATTATAGTTTAGCTTTTCAAGTAAAGACAAGAAAGCCAGTTATCTCAAGGATTAAAATAATATCCCTAGTTTATATGAATATAATGCATGTTAAAAGATGGCAACATTTTTTTTATAAATTTTTTTTTTATTTCTTTTCAAAAAAGTAGAAGTTTTGTAATAAAGAGTTGGGGAGCTGTGTTAGTGTGCAACTGCAAATGAACAACCAGATGTTATTTAGGAAATACTGAATTACAGAAAGGTAAAAAGACAGAAGACAAATACAAATGAAAAATAATGTAAAAGTTCCCACCATTTTCCAGCTATCAAAGTCTCTTAATTTTCTGTAAGAGGCAAAAATCTCTCAATTTATTTAGCGATTTCTGTCTCCCACACATCACCTGGAATTTGTCTCCCAGATTTCCCAAGAACATAAAAGTTTCAGGCAAGCAGTGGGCATCTGTGCCTGTTTTTTGGTTTTAATTGCACTTCCATCTAGTTTCCACTGAGGTACTCTCATTCATGTACTGTAGCATTCTGAAGAAATCTGCTGGGTGTACTTTGTCAATGCTATTGGGGATTGTAAATACAGTACATGTACAGTATCATGTATGTAGTCTTCTTTGTTCTAAATTTAAATAGTCCTGTTCCTTCAGCCTGTCGGTGTAGGACATTTCCTTAAGCTTCGTAATGCATCTGGAATATTTATATATCTTTGGTTCTCTTTCTTTTGCTTTCCTTATCTTAATATTCCTTCCACCACAGGAAGGTATGTAAAAAATAATTACTCCGATTTTTAATTGTTCACTTTGAAATCCATCTAGATCTGAGCTACACAATTTACATTCCTTCTAATTCACTGAACTGGTAATATTTTCTAACAAGCACCTCCTCTTTTGCTGCATTGATGTTTAGTAGGAATATAACAACTCAATATACAGTACCTGAAGTGTTGGGTGGCTTAAAGTAGCACAATAGAGGGAGATGTAAGTGCCTCATACTCAGTGGGCTTTAAAAACATACCAGCAGCACCTTATTTGCATAGTGTCATTCAAGTATTTCAAAGTGCTTTTACAATCAAATGTAGAAAGCATAAAACCAATTCCAGTTTAAATTAGAATTTATTCCTAATTCATATAAAATAGTAAATGAATTACTAGGTTTATTATTTTTTCAACCTGACTAGAATTGGGGAAATCTGGTGGATTCTGACTTAAAGGCACTCAGTCAGAAGCCCACGGATGGTAACAGGATTAATATGGCAACAACACATCATCAGTAGAGGACAAGACCGTCTCACAATGGTCAAAACCTAGATCGCCTTCTGCATTAGCCCCAACACTGTGGGAAGTGGTTTTTAATAAGATGTAACCACCAAGATATAGGCACGTGCACACACTCCACGCTTGTTACTCTGTCATTCTAGCTCCTCTATGTTAGTTTTTTTTTTGTCTGCTTCTAATGTTTTTAATTTGCAGAGTTTCAGTTCCTGTTTAAGCTCGACTTTGTATGCAGAATTATTTGCTCTGAAGACTGGTCTGCTCTTTTATAATGCAAATGTTTGTCTAAAGTCTAAATTTGTCTAAAGTTTTGTCCATGCTGAGGAAGAGAGGCAGACAGCCGTAGTGTGCAATGTTTGAAGAAAGCATACTGACATTTCACACCAATTGGGAAGCCACACTCACTGTTAGTGGTACCAATATTCTTGCACCATGTACTGTTTGTCCCTTGCTTTCAGTGTTTAAAAATTAGTGCTGTCATTGTCATTTACAGTAACTCTCAAGATTGACCATGGGTGTGCTTTGAATTTTAAAAAAATGAGAATTCGTATTTTCAGCAGAACTGATGATTTTATTCCTCTCTCCTGCCGCACCACAATCATGTCATATGGAAATTCTACTGAGCTCTCTCATCAAGAACTATGCAAACCACCATCGCTAGCACAAGCAAAAAACATTTTTTCCCCATCTTTAAGCTTGATAATTGGACGACGAGACATTTGCACTAATGTAAGTGCTTTGCCTAATGAGCCCCGAGTCTCTAACAAACTTGGGCTTATGATTCTAGAATCTTTTGCATTAAGACAGGGTGCCCTGCCATTCTGATCGCACTATGGACCAAGTGGATTACTGAAAGGGATATATAGTCTTGAAAAACTGGCAATTTAAGGTGGCACCATAGCATTAAGTGCTCTACATGCAATACAGTACATGTAGTATTTACTGCTACAGTACCACCTCAAACAAGCACCAGCAGAGTTCAGCTAAACTGACAAAATGTGGTCAAGGGTTTGGGGTATTGTCCAAATATTCACAGAGCTAAGGACAGAGTGAGTGATTGAGTACTCACCACCTTTTTCCTTAGACTCTGCTTTTCCTTTTTCACATCGCCGTAGACCAAGGCTGGGCTCTCTAGTTTCATGCTAAGGTCCTGACTAGGGTTGGCATTCTCCCTGGAAGCAGAGGTGTCCATTGTTTTCTCATTAGGAAGTTTATTTGTCATCATGAAAAGCACAGGTAAATGAGAGAGGAGAGCAGTACCATCACATAACTTTGTGTTACATTTTATTCAATTGTTTTTAAGGTTCATATCAGTTACTGTTCATATGATGGATATTAATTATACATGCTATTTCTTGCTGATCTCATCCAAGCTTTTATTTTTATGTGCACAGATTGCTTAGAAGTCAGAAGTCAGCCATACGAAATTAAGTTAACTCTGGCATATAGTATATTATTTCACATACACACACACAGAAGAGCCACTTCCATCTAATAAGCATTCAGTGCACAGCTTTCAGCTTTTGGTGTTTCAGTGTGTATTACTGGGTCAGAGGAGCCAGTAAAACATTTTTTTTCTTTTCCTTAGTAACATGCTCAGACTCAGCTGATAAAACAGAAACAGTTCAGTTTTGTGATTTTGCTGCCTTTCACCTGAGTACCGTAAAGCTCTGCTTCCTCATCTGTTAGATTTCAAACATACTTTGTCAACAAGTGCATGAACCCAGATCTTACCAGTGTAAAGACCAATTTGCTCCCGGTTTCTTTCCATAATGGAATGTTGTGTTAATTTGTGAATGCACTAAGAACTGCATGGCTGCAATCTCACATCGGATCATTCACTCCCGGACCTGCCTAGCATTTCCGCAAATTTGGTGGGGAAAAATACATTTCTAGACTGCAGGTTAAATCAATGGTCGGAAAGTATATTCCATGTTAAGGAACTTTCTCATGGGAATCCCTCACAAATGACATAGAAAGCCAATATCAGTTTAAAAAATCCTATCTCAAAGCTTACAGTATTTTTTCCAGCGTTCATTTTCACTTTGGTTAAACTACCTGGGGTCAAATTGTTGCATAAAAGCTCCTTTTAGATATATACATATTCTACATTACATCCATTCACCTATCCATTATCATTCTGCTTGCCCTGGTAAGGGTTTTAGCCTCTACTTTACATCCATCCTTTCTTGTACACAGGGTCACAGGATCCTACCTGAACAAGCAGGGAGCACAAGGCAGGATACACCATGGGCAGGATACTGGCCCCTCATAGACATTCACAAACATGCACACACCAGGGCAGTTTTCCCAGAAGCCAATGAACCCACCAGTTAATCCCTACAAGTCTTTGAACTGTGGGAGGAAAACGGAGCACCCGGAAGAACACAGGGAGAACATACAAGCTCTACATGGATAGCACCTCAGGAATGGAAGTCAGGGTTCTAGCAATATAATGCTGACTACTGTGCCACCATGCCTTCCCTTAATACGTTACAAAACAATTATTGTAATTATTATACTGATGTATTAATAACATATAGTTCAGGTGGGTAGCTGCGTCAGCATGCGTAGGCTGCAAAGGAGCAAGTAAAGGCTTATTCCATGCTGACAAGAGAAGAAAAGAAACACAAAGTTCCCTGAACACCCAAAGAAGGCTCCACAGCTGAAATGTTGTGTTTATTTTCTTCTCTTTTCAGCATGGAATAAACTTTTTCATGTTCCTTAATAACATATACTTACTCTATATATAATTTAAGATGTTATATATATGTATTTACTACATATGTTATATAATATAATGTTATGTAATTATGTAAATATGTTCTAGAATTATAATAATTATTATATCAATGTTATATAATATATTTAATATATTAAGTATATATTAATATTTTATTAATAATATATACTTACTTTATATGTTATATAGTTATAATTATATCATTAATGTACAGTTGGTTATAAGCTGTGTGAGGATTGAATTTAGAGTTGTGATAATGAACCCGTCAGCAGGGCACACTGCCTGGTGCGCTGTTACTCTCTGTACTCACTTCTGGTTGTTCCGGCTTATGTATCGGACTGCAGCGATGATTAATCCAATTACTGCCACTCCTCCAATTGTGCCAATGATCACTGCCAAAATGTACTTCTCTAAGAAGAAAAAAAATAGAAGGATAAGGACATGGATGACATGGTCTTCTTCTTACTCTCAAATCTGGACTATTATCAAAATCTCTGTTCTTCAAATGCCACTATTTCCTAGAAAGAAGACAGAATAAAACAGAAGGCCAATGAAAGTATCATTTAGATCACGGGTTTTCAATCAATGGAGCAACTTGTATGAAATACAAGACTACCTTCAACTTGTTTAAGAGTTGAAAGCAGTCAGTTCAAATTAATCCTGTTATTAAGTTAATTAGGATTTTGAGAAATGCTTTCAAATTTGAATTAAGATATTAAATACTTTCATTAATCATTTCCTATTATTCAACTTTAAGAAGCTGCCTGAATTATTAGTTCCTTACATTCGCTAGGAGTGTTATCGAACAAGCCTTTCCTCCATCAACCAACAACAAGTACCATCGTGTGATTCAGACACTCAAAGCTTTTTAATTTATACCAGGTACGATCTACTACGATCTACTACTGCAGCCCCTATTGAGTTATACTATAAGGAAGTTGACTGATGTCTTACTTTCTTGCTGCAGTTCCAGTCTGACTGTCTCAGTACCATACAGGTTGCTCATGCTGCACAGCACGTTGAGCCCGGAGGCCGGCAGCTCTTTCAGCTTGATCATGCTGGTGGTCACATAGCCATCGACGTGAGCGTAATAGTTGAACTTGCTCTCGGTTTCGTTGATGGTGAGGTTGAGGTTGGGAAGGTGGAACTCGATGTTTGGCTCAGGGTTTCCAGAGGCCACGCAGACGCACTGGATGCCCTCTCTGACCATGGTGCACTTCGATTCCATGAGAAACACTGGAGCAACTGGTGAAAGGGGGAGAAAAAACATGATGGCATGAGTCATGAGGGTGTGGCCCAAATGAAATTACTTTCAAATGTTCCAAATCTTTCATAGCTGGCTAAATTACTGGCGTGAAACGAGTAGTCTTAGAATGCTGAAAAAGGCCACTATCATCTTTCCGGGCCAGAACAATCCCCAGATCTCGAACTGAAAACCAGTTCAACCAGTAGAATGTATAATTCTACACATTTACACATTTAGCTATGCCCCTTGAACCACACCTACACCAGTTATGATTTCTTATTGCACATCTCCAGTCATTGTTTACATGTCTGAATTCTTAACATTCAAACTGTTTACTTGTTTACTTGTACATTGTCTACTGTTTGTTTGTATATTGCCTTGATGCACTGTCTGCACTTTGTGTTTTTACACTTGTTTTTTAACAATCGAGAGATTTTCTGTAAGTAAGAATTCCATTGTACCAGTACATGTACTGGTTACATATGGCAATAAAGTTAAAGTTCAATTTAGTCCCACGTGTCTACATTTCATAATGACTTCAGCTGAAGGTAATCACGTAAAAAGAGTGGGATTGGGCTGCTATTTTAAATGGGCTATTCCCATTTTCCCGTGAAACTCTGAAAGAGCATACAACACCCCCCCCTCCCATTAAGGAAGCAAAAAAAGTAGTAAGAAGGAACAGCTCATGGAATATCCCCAGGTATCCTAGTTTCAGCTACGGGAAATATGGTCGTTCCAACAATGAGGAAAAAATTCATTGTTAGATGAAAAGATCAAGTCTTAAAGTATAAAAATAGGTCCAAAATAGACCCACTACAGTTTTAAATTATATTTAATCAATACAGTATATTGTATGCGACAATGTCCTGATCGGTGGTATGTATGCAATAATGTGACACAAAATTAGCTCTAGTCAATGAAGCAGATAGATAACCGTGGTGCAACATTTTTAAGGCCTCTACCCCATTTGTAATTTTTATGTAATTTATTTTCATTTGAGAAATACTCGTCTAGATTGCAAATAGCGCTCTTACACTCCACAGTGATGTTGATGACTCCACTGGCTCGGCCGTACTCGTTCTCTGCCAGACAGCGGTATTCCCCGTCCCCCTCGTACGTGATGTCCGAGATCTCCAGCACCGAGTAGCTGTCCGCGATGATGGTGCCCACCAGGTTGCCGTCTTTGATCCAGGTGAGGGTGGGCACAGGATTTCCCACGGTGCTGCAGTGGAGAGAGAGACTGGAGCCCTCCTGCACTGTTAAGGAGGAGTTCACTAATGGCTCTCGTGGAGGATCTATGCACAGAGAGAAAGCAACGTCGATCACAGCATTAGTCTTGTAATGGGTGCCACACGCAGCTATTGATGCTGTATTTCAGCGGTGCATGAAGTGAGTTCCTTCCTACATGCAAAGCTCTTCCTTTTGTGTTGAAAAGCACAATATTAAAGCCGAGTAATGATGATGATGTACTCACACTTGACAGCGAGGTAGAGGGATCTGTTCATCGAGCCATAACCATTGTCAGCCATACAGGTGTAGACACCCTCCCCATCAGCTTGAATGTCCTCCATGACCAGGGAGGAGTTCAGGGAGATCTCCTCTTGCAGATCAAGGCCTTCTTTGATCCAGGTGATGGTCGATGGGGGGTTGCTGTCCACTAGGCAGTACAGGAGCACTGTGCTGCCTTCCATCACCTCAGTGGATAAGTTCACCTGTACCAGCCTTGGCCCATCTGTCCCCAAAATAAATAAATACCCATCTCTTGCATTGACTCTCGTCTCAACAAAGTCTACTATGAACTAATCACCTAGCATCTGCATTCACATATTCTATCCACCTGCGTCCTCCTCAGCATTGTCATGAAATGTCAAGGCAAAGACCATTTTCTAATAACTAAAACTAAGACTAAGTGTTTTATAATTTTTGTTTGTGCAAGGCTACTTGAGATCTTTGATAATATGAAAGGCACAGTATAAATTCACAATAATCACATGAAAAAAAAATAATTTATGGGCAATGACAACTAAAACTTAAAACAAGAGAATGCTTTCATGAGTTGAAGGCAACCAGTGTTCAAAGCTATGAAAACCGTCTTCTGCCATCTACTGTTATTTTTCTTAATGACAGAAAGATCTCTGATGTAACTCTAATCTGCCACCCGTGGCAGGTGGGCAAGGAAAAGGGAGAGACGATACTGGGAACAGAGAAGAAAGGCTCACATTTGATGTCCAGAGCGACGATTCTCTCATAGACGAGCGTGGTGTTGGGGTAACGAGCCCTGCACCCCAACATCTTGCCATTGTGGACATGGGAGGCTGTGAAGCTGACTGAGGCTACCATTATGGCTGTGTTGCTCTCTTCCAGGTAGTCGGTAGAGAACTTTGGGCTGGGGAGCAGCTCAGTGTTGAACCAAGAGATTTCAGGGGTCATATCAGGACAGTTGTCTGGAACATAGCAAGTGACCTCCAGGTCCTGATTGCTCATTATCTCCTCAGGAGTGTTGATGAGGGGCTGATCTACAGGAGGGATATATAGATAGATAGATACAAAAAAGTGATATCTTTCCATTCATTTCGAAGCTCTCTGTGTTGTAAGTGACTGAACCCTAAACCTATTCTTTAAAGAGAAAAACAATATGCAATTTCCCAAACTGCTTTTGAGAAACACATCTTTACTGTTTTGCATCAAACCGCAATCATAAGTGACTTTGAAACACATTGAATGTCAACCCACCTTCTATAAAAAAAAAATCAACACTTTTCAATCATTAGCTTACATAACACTATTTTTTAGGAAAGAGAAATGCCTTTCATTCCACAAAAATAATTTTAATAACTGATTTGTTAAAAATGTCTTAATTGTTAAAAATCTGAAAAAATCTGTAGTAAACACCTTGGGTTGTAAGTGAATCCCTGTGACCAATACTGTAATTCATATATATTCTGTCTAACCATACTGTGTTACAGTGCATCTTCATAACAAGGACTTTTGGGATTTGGAGAGCCCTTTTCAAGGAATCTAAGTGAATTTTACAGACAAGGTTACAGACAAGCTCGTGCTGAAATCTATACGCATGAGCAACAGCAATTCTTTACATTATAAACAAAAAAGCTACAGGTAAACCAGAATTAGTTTTCAGAGCAGACCCACTGAACAGAGTATTGATTTCATATACCATTGCACTTGAGGCCAAAGGGGTCTCTTTGTTTATTAAAGACACCCTGGACAGTCGGTGATAACTGCTCAGGTTCCCTAGATCCTTGGTTACAAATCTCTGCTCAGCATGACAAGAGGACAGACCCAGTGAATGGATTGGCCCTTACCCAGAACTTTGACCTCGGAGAAATCAGGGTAGGTGAAGACGTTGGATCCTCCCAGGTCCGCCCGGAAGTAATATCTCCCAGAGTGTTCCATGCCGATGTTGTTGATCTGTAGGGTGCAGTTCCTCTGGTGCAGGTCACCCAGCAGCTTGGTACGACCCTTGTAGCTCTCATGAATGATGTTGGTCCGAGATTTGTACACCACGGGTGGGTAGAACTGGGGGTAGGGTGACCCAAAATACCAGATGCCGTGGGTGCCTCCATATGGCCGTACCCCAGAAGGGTACATGAAGGTGCAAGGGATGACCACACAGGAGTTGGTCATGGTAGAAATGTCCCTTGGCATCCACACATTCCACTGTGCCCAGGCCCCTGGAATACCCACAGAAGTGTTGCTATTTGTAACCATTTGGGTTTTTTTAGCTTTTTTGGTTGATACTTTTACCCAACGTAACTTGGTTACAATTGCCTTTCTTGTGCATAAAGGAGGTTTTGGTAATATATGACAGAACTAGGTTTGCTGGACAAATCTGAACAAATCTTGCACAAGTATACATCAATACTATCTACCTGGCTCACGAACACCCTACCCTTCCAGGTACTGTAGTCCAGAGTCCTAATAGATACTTCACACTGTTGTTTCAAAGGCACTGGGAAGGAAAGACTGCTCTGGTTTCTATTTGGCCAGTCTGGGACTGGACCTATAAACTGCAAAGTGTCAAATATCATTACCAGACAAACAACTCAACAAAAGAAGATGTTGCACTATTTAATTTAGACATCACAAGACTGAGCCTAGGTCATGGTACTAGCTGAAAACTGGCTTGGTACCACCACAGGTAGGGTTAAAATCAGTTAGCCAAGTTCCTGTCAGTCCCCTGGAAAACAGCACCATGTGCCTCTAGGTTCTCTGTGATATTAGAGTCTTTCCACCAACTGACATTGAATTTCATTATCCAAAGTGTGTCAGGAGATTAATGGCTCAATGAGTAAGCAGGTCAGAGGAATTTTGAAAATGCTGTTGTTTCCATCTTTTACTATAACAAGCCATTGTGTAAAGGAAACAGAGCATTCAAGGGTATGTACTATGCTAGAACATCACTTTAAGAAAACTGAATGCAATAGGACTATAATTTTGTGCTCAGCTACCCAAGATATTGCATTGTCCCAGCACAGTACATATATTAAGTGTGAAATATTTACATTTCATCACAGTGTATCGCTGTGTATGTGATATGTAGTGGTCCTCATCCCTGGTCAACATAGGTTTCTATACAAAATGAGATTTGTATTTGGTAAATGATAATAGAACCCTGTACTCAAAGATGAGTTTTTAGGACTGCCCTCATTCAGGTGTGTGAGCTGAAGTCTTAACCTACTGGACTTGATAAGAAGGCAAAATACTGAATCAATATGGGTGTGTCTGGTGTGGAGCCACTCCCACTGTGGGCATGTCTGATACTCTGTCACTCCCACGTGTGTCTGCACTTCATCATTTGATCACTTGTTAAGGGCTCTATTTCACTTAGAAATATGGATGCAAAGTCTTAAACTGCAACATTTAGGCACAGAAAAGACTCATATTATCTGATCAATTATGTGCATCAATTAATACCAGAAATCAAAGACCTAGATGGAAAGAATCAGCTGACCTATCAACCACTCAAGATTGGAGCTGAAGGTCAGTGATATATGCAACACTGATGCACAAATTAGAAAAAAAAAAACAGAAAATACGTTTTGTTTAACTTGGAAAAATGGAAATGTCAAATTTCCAGATTTGTTTTTGCAGAGCAATAGTGATTTCACAATAAAGACTATTTATTTAGCAAAAGAAGTTAAATGTGATAGAAATAAATATAATTAGCCCGGAGCTGTGTTGTACTGGTCTACATTGCATTGTACCAGTGAGAGTATTATATTATTCAGAGGACATTATGTAGTTCTGCACTGGAAGTTACTGTAACAAAGGGCATACCTTTAATGACTAGCAAGACAGGCAATAAGAACTCCAAGCACCACATGTTTCTTCCTGCTCACTGGACCATAGACTTCTGAAAGTAAAGAAAACACTGAAGGAGAAGACAGTAAAAAGGTTTCAATGTCACCTTTGAAAACATCAGTACTGAACATCAAATGAATAGAGTAAAAAATCCAAATTAAGACAAGATAAGATTTATTGGTATAAACCTGGTAAGGCTCACTTTGGACATTATATCATTTCATGTATATCATATTTTAATTCCTTCTATTTATGAATACAAAATATCAAGTACAGCTAATAATCATTCCTTACATTTATAGATTGGACTTAAACCTGAGGTTCCTGAGGTGTCAGAATAAAGTGCTAGTGTAAGTTGCTCCCCTCCACTTGACGTCAGCGGCGGTGTCAATTCTTGTTTGCGACACCAGGGGCGACGTAGTCCCGATCAACTCAGCCCTCCAGCTTTCTGCTGCCTCAAAACAAATGACGCAAATTTCAGTGCCACAGAATAATCTAAGTAGACCACCTGGCATTCCTGGATCACAGTTACATGAGTATAGTATATATGAACCAGCAAACTCAAAGACAACAAATAGCTCCTAAAAACACTCATATTTACTACACATATCAAAGTTGGCCACTTTATTGATCTGTGTTACACCAGCCTAGGTCTGTGTTTGTCTGAAAAAAACAATTCCATTCTAAAAGGTTTGCTTGAAGGTTTACCTTGAGGAATTAATCAATTAACTCATTAACACATTTTCATTAGTTGACAGAGAGGTTAGATGATATCTGTAGCATTCAACTCTATCACGAAGACGACATACTGTATTTTATTTAAAAAGCTCGCAATATATTGAGAGTATAGCTTGTACTTTGACACAGATACTACCTCATATATGAAGAACTGCAACAAAACACTGAAAACAGAAGATTGTTCACACTTTGAACTTATTTTTTAAGATAGAACTATACAAGAAAAGTAACCAAGAATGAACAGCTACATTTAGTTGTTGGTTTTCTAGCAGCTAATTGATCGTTCTCATATATACAGTATGCTTCTGGAAAGATCCGACAGAACTTGTTCCAGATCCTACCTCCTTTTGAGGATTGTTTATTTTCCAAGCTAGGTGCATAACCTCTACATTTGTGTTGGTGTACCCCTGTCCTTGTTTTATTCTTGACGCTGAATTAGTCTAATCGACCAGTTTTGTCACAAAATATGGTTTACAGTTTGGTGTACATCTATCAGGGCTCCACGGAAACGCCTGGATTAAAGACCAAAGAAATTAGGTTTGTTACACAGTGGCATGTCATGTCTTTTTAGACCATGATTTCACCTCTTCTTTGAACTCTTTACACAGCTGCAGGGATGAAGAACTGGAGAAGACTCCACAGCTGAAATGTGGTTCTTTTCTTTACCTTTCCACACGGAATGAACCTTCAACTGTTCTTAGAATTTGCCCATCCCAGTACTAATCAGACTCCATCTTGCTTAGATCAATTGACTTCTAGCTACAAGATAATATCGTTGCTTATTTATATCCTAATGACAATTTTAAGAATATTATTTGTATTAACATTGCATGCAAGGCATTATAATGATCTGCAGTGTGAAGTAATGGTTATGAATCTGGAATCCTGAGGATCAGGGGTTCAAATGGCAGCTAGGACCCTGCTTTTGTGCCATTGAGCAAGGTTACTGTACTTCATTCAGATTTCTACAGCAAATGTTTTGCTCCTAAAGAGCTTAAGCCCCACACTGACATTGCAAATGAGGATTTTTTTCTGATTACATAATAGATTGTATAGAATCCATCTTCGCACATGGTGTAAGAAAGTGTGGAAATACATCCGCACAAATGAAGAATGGTGTCTGTCCAGTACAGCTATGATGACAGCCTGATTCTGTTCTGTATCTACAGCTTCAGCAGTTTCCTCTCCAACATTGCCACCACGGCTTCTCACGACAGAGTCACGTCATTTTTGAAGTGAAGCGCCCCTGCTTCAGCAGTTTCTCAATACATATCGATCCTGCCCCGCAACTGATGAACATGGAGATCTTCCTGTTCGGGATGAGGGTTTATCCAATAAATGCTCGATTTAGCGAAGTCGATCAACACTTTAACACACGTGAAGACATTACCCTGTCCTCGGGAAACCCAGCTAGGAATACAAGTGATTATGTCAGACATCCTGCTTTTGAAAACCTATACCTTTCCACAAAGGGTAGGTAAAGGAGTTTGAAAGAGAGTATTGCCAGCTTTAACAGGTGTGCAGAAAACAGTTCAACAGTAGCCTTCTGAAGAGAAACTTTCGGCTGATCACAGACTATTGTTCATCCCTTAGCACTGATCTTTATCTAACTGCACCAACGGCACTTGTTGCTATTTTAGGGTGTCAGCCACGGGGTCTCTTGTAAAGTGGGCTAGAAGCCATGCCCTCTTGTCACTGCAGGGCGGCACTGCGAATGCACGTGGTTAATGCTGAGGTTTTCTTTTAATCAAAGCTTTCGGAAAGTGCGTCGGCTTCACCGAGGCGGGCGGGCAGCGGCGCGGAGCTGGGGAAGGGGGCTGATCTCACGAGAGACTGTGCTTTGCTTAAGATGCCGTAGCAGTTAAGGCAGGTGTACTGCCAGCCCTCTCTAGAAGCAAATGGAAAATTAAGCAAAGGCTCCGCTTCATACCCAGGCTCTGTTTAAGGGGAAAATAATCATTCTGTGTCAAAGGAATGCCTCTTCTTCAGCCCAAACGCTTATTTTTGGAGGGCATGCTTGATGTGTAGTTCTTTCCATATCTGGTATAAGACTAAACAAAGACTTCTTGACTCCCTGTCTACTCGTTTGTCATCACTCTGAGCTCTTTGTTGTTTAATTGAGACGTTTATTGAACAATTAATGATTATTTTATTATTTTCCGTTCGGCGGTTGCTGATGTACATAGTGTTGGTAGATCAGTAGGTGGCATTCTTCCCTGTGAATCGGAATATACTTATTAATTAAATGATCCTGTACTGGGTGAAATGGTTAGAAAATGGATGGGATATTAAAATAGCTAAACGTCTAGAGATCTCATGAACTTACCTTTTTTAACCATCTTTAAAAAACTTCTGTTTTAATTTGGCAGCTAAAAATAATGCCAGACATCTCATTTGGCAAATATTTTAAGAGTCTCAGTTGGAACATATCCTACAGATACTTGTCTGAGGACCAGGAGTAATTATCCCTGCTTCACCAGTGAAGATTTTAATATGATTTCTTGCAGGTGCATTTCTATGTTGGTCTTCACATTGTGTGTAGCCCTTGCTTCCATTTTTTAGGGTCTAAGGTAATACTGCTCAGCACCTTTTCTTCGGCCTTGCTTGCTTTGTCTATATGAGTGAGGCCCAGTTCCCAATTTCTTCAAGGCCAGTTCCTCAGATTTTTCAGTAAGCAAGATGTCTTCTCCAGAGTACAAATGGCTCTGGTCGTTTTACAGAAGTGTGTAACTTTCACCTACTGTGCTGCTTGCTGTGGTTTTCGGAAACTGTGCACATTTAGAAATAAGTCACCATTACACTCAGTAACTCGATATTTTGCAGAAGACCATGGCAGAGAGACGCAACAATTAAATCCTTCCAGAACGAAAGCCAACTGACCTTTAACAGATCTAAACAATACAGAGCAGCTAATCAAGCAAGCGACAACACCGAGTGAACTGGTGCAGAAATGTCACATCCCGGGACGATCAAGGTATTAATAGTGCTTGTAAAAGACAGCAATCTTTTCTGCACTCTTGAAACTCATCTATTCCTCCTGAATGGTCTCCTACCTCCCGGCTTCTCTGTAGAGATCCACAAAGAAGAAAGAAGATGAAATGTGCTGCAACATTTAATGGGAAAAAAGGCAAATGGGATAAATTCATCACTTTGGAAAATGTAAGCAAATGCTCTGATTCAGGAGAGGGCAATGTTGTCAGCTTGGGCAAAAGCTACATACTGTACAGTATCACACTGCTTTCCAGATGCTGACTCTACCCACAACCCTTTGTGCTGTGAAGGCTATTGTCCCCTGAAGCTTTTCAAACACAAGACACAATTTACAGTACAAGATGTCTTTGATGTTTTCTGCTACTTTTCTTACAATGTATAAGCTCCTTTTTCTATTCCCCAGGACAATGACGTTATACAGAATAAAATCTTCTTTATAAATGTTATAGGAGACGATTAACGAAACTCTTTCTTAAATAAGCCCATGGCAACTACACAAGCATGAGGGTCTGAATAACCTCCTTTCTTCTGCAACTGTCCTGGTCTCTCCTTTCCTTTTTTCACTGTCTTTTTTCAAACTGGGAAGCAAATCACATTCTAGAACACATAGCTTTGAAGATCGGCCCACGTTAATGCAAAAACCAGTGGAGACTGAATTTAAATAGATGGATAAACTAAGGAAATCTGAATAGTAAAAAATGAAACAACTGTGTTCGTTTCAGAGCAGAAACAATAGGAAAAAATAAAAAAGACGGCATCTTTTCAAGATGAGTACTGAATTGCAAAAGCAAGGCAACAGATTATTTGGCATCCATCAAAATATAGAACAAGAAGCCCAATTAATGGCTCAGATCTTTAAAAATACAAGGCAATATTACATTTTTTTCTCTTTATCTCAGATAAAACAAAAGTCAGTTTGTTTAAACACAGGCAGTGATTAATTAGCAGACTTGGACACTCTGGTCACAGTATGTGGGCAGAGAATTGACTGTTTGGCAAATTGCGATTTCTGAGCTGTGGGCTGCATCACTGCCACAGAGCTCCAGGTCACATAGACAAAGCCTCACACAAACTGGAGTGGGATGAGGCTCATTTCCAAGGCTAATTAAAGTAAAGGAAGATTCTTTCTGTCCCATCTGAGCAGCTGGAAGTCCTTTTTACACCCAACAGAAAGCAAACCAATTGAAGGATAACCGCACTGTATTCGAGAGTGTGTAGGACAGAATAATCCAAACTATTATTAATAATCTCATTTGAAAAAAAAAAAAGGAAAATGTTTCCAAATAATGTGGGAGCACATTTTCAAGTTCCGCAAATTTGTGAAACCCATCCATCCATTTTCAAATCGCATCTTCCAATTTAGGGTTGTGGGGGGAAGGGGAACAGGAGCCTATCCCAGCAAGCAATGGGCACAAAGCAGGGTTACACCCAGTCCATCGCTGGGCCCACACTGACACATCACATACAGTTGTAGCAGGGTCAATTTTCCAGGAACCAATTAATCTACCAGTACGTCTTTGGACTGTGGGAGGAAACCGGAGCACCCAGAGGAAACCTCCACAAACTCATACAAACTCCACGTAAATAACACTCGCATCCAGAACTGAAGGCAGGGCAGCAATGCTAAGCACTGCACCACTGAGCCCTCCCCCCTCCTCTTAATATATTTATCCTTATTTATATAGCCCCATTTATATAGCATTTAGGGTTTTTTCAAAATACAATC